TTTTTCCCCCCCTTTTCGCCACATCTCATGCAAGGAGCATACAGCGGCGGTAGCGGAAACGTGACAAGATCCGACACTGGGGCGTATCTCAGAAACAGTACAGTACAAATTCATCACTGTTATCCGCTAGCGTGCCGCTGAGTCACGAACCAATCTGCAGCCAAGTCTCAGGACAACCGCATCCTTGGATCCTCGATAACATGCTAGCTCACTTATCAATCCTAGTTGCGGCCCCCCGCAGATTTGTTTGACGTCGGGCTCACCATCAACGCATGCCGACTTGGACGGAGCATTCCAGCGCCCCGATTTGTCAATAACCAGTGCGCTTATGCTTCAAGCTGTGTCGGTGGCCAAAGTATCCCGAGAAGATTGAAACTCGACATTCTACTATTCATTGTGGTATGTTAGTATCTATCCCGGATCGGAATGATGCACCGCATGCATCTAGGAATACGATGCATCTGGAATCTCCTCCGTCCTTCAACAGATATAAAGGCGCGAGTCCCGATGTAAATTGAACATTGGCAGGGCAGAAAGCCTCCCCACAGTAGTCATGACCTCCCAGTCCATCATTTTGAAGTTAATCATGTTGTTCTCGGCTGCATACTTCTCGACGTTGGTGAGTGTCCTAATAATGGCCTCTGCCCACAGTAAAACTAAATGTTGGCAGTGTGGTCGATCGCCACAGCCGACTCCCAAGAGGTGTGAGGAGTCCAAGTTTTCCGGACTAGAGATGCCAGGCTTCAGGACGATCGTCAGATGGCTCCCTCAGCTCGTCGTAACAGTAAATCTTTCCCCCGTACCATCCTAAATGAATGCTCACCGGTGATCAACAGCCATCCATTTGGATGACCCTTTTCTGTCATGCAGCATCTGCCCTCTGCACGTACAAGCCACATGGCATGCTCGCGGCAACGTTCCCGCGCGAACGTCTCGTATCAATTTGCAATACCCAAACCGGAATCCTCACCTTCGGGTTTGTGGCAGGGTGGCTACTGATTGCAGCAGGTACTGCAGTTCGTATAACGTGCTACCGTCAACTCGGACGATACTTCACCTTTGAGCTCGCCATACGAGAAGGCCACGAGCTTATCACTACCGGACCATATTCCATCGTTCGCCACCCGGCTTATTCGGGAAGTATCATGGCACTCACTGGTGTCGCGCTCATCGAACTAGGTCCAGGATCATGGTGGGCGGACATGGGAATTTGGACTACTACTGGTGGTGTGGCGGCTGCATTGACCTGGTTAGGCGTTTTGGGCATCATGTCATCTGGCATCATTATCAGGACGGCGGCAGAGGACAGGGTGCTGAGCAAAGAATTCGGCGAACAATGGGATGCATGGGCGAGGAACACGCGATATAAGCTTTGTCCAACTCTATTCTAAGACAAGGAAGCATACCAGGACAAATTTATGTAGATGTACATTGTAGGAGCTGATAGCTAGACAAGATAATGGTTGAGACTCAATACAAACAGTAATAACATATGAATGAAGAACTATGAATCAGTATAGTGTACTTTCACGCCCATTGAGTTCGTCCGAGAACACGCTCAAGAGGATTTTGAAGTAAAACTTAGAGCTAATTCGATTGTTAGTACATAGACCTGCCCAATGCATCATATCACTAACCCTGAACAGGAAGCCAAGCTGTCAAAAGAATAATGAAGGTTGTCGGCATTGATCAAAGACTGAGACGAAAAGGACACTTACGTCCTCAGGCGTCAATCTGCCCATGGCCTATGCGAATTCGTAAACTCTATGGCCCGACATGCTACTGTTGTAGGACTCACTGAATCATCTGTTGATAATGTCGCGTCTACCATAGCAGCCTTCTTCTCTTGTAACTGAGTGGGATAAAATTCGGTTATTGCAACGTTATTCAAAATGGCGATGTAATTTACCTGTATAATGCGGCTCTCTATACTGTCTTCAACAACAAGCTTGACAACTTGTACGGGACGGTGTTGTCCCAATCGATGGATTCGATCCATCGCCTCTGCAAAAGCATCAGGGGTCAATCAAGAGATAAGAAACATGACGTGACTCACGATACTCGACCTGATCAATGAATAGAGATCGTTAGATGTACACCAATGCCATTGTATGAAGCGTACCGCAGGGTTCCACCAGCTATCCATAAGGAAAACGCGCGATGCCTCCGTCAAATTCAGAGCGACGCCACCCGCCTTCAAACTAACAAGGAACACTGTGACATGCACGTTGCTCACTGGAGCGTTGTTGAACCATCTACCTATAATAAACGGCTTTTAGAAAGTCACTCACTGAAATGTTGAATTGTCGCATCGCGTGCTTGAGGACTCATGGTACCTTCCAGCCGACAAATCTGTGAAACCTTTAGCAAGCTGACGTTTCGTCTTACGATAGAAAGATTACCGTGAAACCCGCTTTCTGGAGCCTGTACGCGATGAGATCTAGGAAATTGACAAACTGACTGAACACAATGCTCTTCGTGGTCGTATCTTGCCTTCGAAGATTGCTCAACTCTTCAACGAGTGCTTCAATTTTCGAGGACGAACGCCATGTGTCTAAGTCCAGCCGACCTAGGATTCCTTGACGCGGCGCCACATTCTCCTCGAGCTCCAGGGCAGGGGCTTCCAAGTCTATGGTAAGAGGAAGATGACATACAGGACATGCCGGCTAAACGACAGTTGACATCAGCTCAATTACGTGTACATAGAAGTAAAAGGCTCACAGTAGCTTCGATGGCTGTGTTCAAATACTGTTTGATACATTCCCGATCGAAGATGTGTCTGCATTTGGCTTGAATCGCGTCTTCGGCAACCTCGTTACATAGCCGGCAGACGGTAGCTTCGCCAGATAGGTCCTGCGAGAACGTGCCTGCGTTGCTCTTGCTCCTCAATACAAGATCGGGATGACAAGCCATTTGTCTCATTCGCGTAAGCCTGAAAAGGAGTTCAGTGCAAATATAACCACAATTTTATTACGCCACTCACAAGCTAAAAATGTTCGAATAATCTGTGAAAGTATAGCCGTCAACACCAGAAGTAGATTTAGCCATCGCCTTCACTTACTGTTGAGTACGGTACCAGAATCTACATAAGTGTTGAACTGTCTCTTCGCGTCCGAGAACAGGGATAGGTACAGCTCCTTCTCCTCAGGACTGAAATAATCTCTGCGAACAACCACCGTGCGAGGAGGCAGACCAAGATCATCAGCTCGTTCGAGCTTCAGACGTAAATTTAGCTGTGTTGATATTGGCAGTATGGAACTACACTAACCTTCGTCCTCCGCAACATCATCCTATCGAGCAAGATCTTGAGTTTCTTGAATGCCGTCTGCCCAGGGCCAACCATGCCGTTCTTTTGAATTGGCGTTAGAATCTCATTGTTCCAAAGACATGTCTGCGAAAATCATTCAGTCATACGACGTCAGATACGGGAGCATCTAATTCACATGTTTCATCGGACTGTGACCACAGTCTAATGAAAGACTCAGTTGTCAAAAAGTGTGATTGCGAGGCGCAGTACTTACCGTCACAGCTTCTCTTATCACTGAACTTCCAGTGCAACGATTTGCAGTCACATTGTTTGCCTATAGTTCAAGGGGTTTGTATATCACAACAATCTCTCGAACGACACATGTACTCACAAAAGTAGTATGAAAATGGATCACCACCAAGAAATCGGATGAGACTGTAGAGTTCCCCCACGCGGTTCTGGAGAGGGGTACCCGAGAGACACCATCGGAAATTTCCTTGTAGTTCGAACGTAGCTTTAGCTGTATTTGTTGATCTTTCCTTGATGTTATGTGCCTCATCAAGCTGTTGAAGTTGTTAGTTTAGATACGGATATGCAGTGATCATGACTGACTATAATTCGGTTCCAATGTATTTGGTGAATAGGCGAGCGCTCCTTGATAATTTTCCCCTTGCGTTTGAATCCATTTTCCTGTTTGCGGAAGCAGCTCTCGAGAACCGCGTATGTCGTCAATACCTGGATAATATCCACATGAATTCGACTTCAGGAAACGGCGAGTAGAAGAACATACCACGTCATACTTCTTCAACTCCTTTATGTCTGACGCCCTTGAGGAACCGTGCCACACGAGCACTTTAAATCCTTCGGTATGTGCCTCAATCTCGTTGCGCCATTGCATGATAGCCACGGTAGGCCTAATGGTGGAATGTTAGATACCATGGGGAGCTCTTCCCAATGGCAGATACTCACGCTACTACGAGATTTGGCTTTATACCTTTGTCCGAGACCAGCAGTGAAATCATCTGGATGGTCTTACCCATGCTGTAAACGGATATGAATTTACGAAGAAAACGAGAACGGCGAGATAGCGTACCCCATCTCGTCCTGTTTCTCGACCTGTTAGTGCTAGATGGGCTGTAGCATTATATCATGAGACTCACCGCCAATACACCTCCCTTCCAGATGCCATTCTCTTGATTCCTCATCCAATACAAACTCTCCATCTGGAAGGGAAGTAGAGTGACCTTCATACCAGCAGGTTGTTCTGCTTTCTGAGGCACAACTATAGCAATGTCCCTTTCCAAATCCCCCCAGACATCCCGAAGGTCAGGATGGTGCTTGTTCAATGCTATAGTAGATTTTTCAGCCTATGAAAAAATCAGTCACAGAGATGGCACGATAGAATCGACCGACGTACATAGGTTAGCTTGCGACCCAGCTTCCGGCGTAGCTCAGCTTCTTCCTTGCTGTTAGCGCCTCTCGCCAGTCGGTCGAGCCTGCGCTTCTCCCTCCGTTGTTTCTGTCTCTCTCCATAGCTCGTTGATTCTTTTCGCGAATTCACGGTGGCCAATTTCTGTAGAGCGGACTTCTTGCCTCCGCGTTTTGGTTCTTCATCCGAACCAGAGAAGTCATCCGGTACGTAGTCGCCACCAGACTGCTCGCGCGCAAGACGACGCTCCGCCGCCGCCGCTCGCAGAGAAGCGGCCTTGGTTACAGGTGGGCGTAAGCTTGACGGACCAGCACCTTCGCTTGACATGCCCGCGATATGATTTTCGTCCAGTCGCGTCGTCATCAGCGACAACTGAATTGCGGCATCCATCATCACAGTATCGTCGTCAATTCCTTCTTCTGTGAGGCCGTCATGAAAATCGCTTTCTTGGTCTGTGACACTCTCTGCCTGTTCTCCTTCAATATCATCGTCAGATGCCTCATAATCAGATCCACTATCGCCAGACTCGTCAATAGAAAACTGCTCATCCGCACGAACACCAACGTCGTCGTCGGATTCCACCTCGGCGACAACACTCTCAGCCTTGTAGGTGACACCGGAAGTTCGCTGTTTCTAGTGTTATACATCGTCTCAGCGTGTGTTCAGCTTCAATTGACAGTGAGACTCAACAGCTTTGGTACGACGAACAGGTATCTCGACATAAGCTGTCTTGGTCACGCTTCTTCGCTTTGTTGCTCGACTTGCGATGGGTATGTCTTCGTCGCTGCTTTCTCTCGCACGCTTCTTGCCTTTGGTTGCATTAATAGATCTCAGATTTCGTGCACTTTTGGTATCAGTCTCCTTGACGTCGTCGTCTACAGAGGTAGCGGGCGTAGATTGCTTGGAAGGTTTCTCGCTAAATGGAGACGATACACCACTAGTTGCAGCGGAGGCTGATGTAGAGAGCGTGTTGCGTGCACGCTGTCTCGTGAGAGGCATCGTAGCAGGCAAGCAGCGACTCAGGAGTCGCGGTGCGAATGCTGGGGCAAGAGCGCGAGACAAGACGCGACGCGCTCAAACCTAATTTATATCGCGCGTCGAGCCACGCTTACATATTTCATCTCCGCGAATGTAAATACGTGACTTACGCGGCTTTCGCTTTGTTCTCTGAGAATATTTCGATGCAGTGCTACTTACAACAAATATACAACCATACGTAACTTAAGAGACGAGAAGGACCACGATTGCACTGAGGACCAACCACACGGTCAGCCTTTCTACTCGATTTCTGTTCTCTTCCGTCTTGGGACCGTCTCCCGCTCGATCCGTGAACCAATCGAAGCTCCTCCCAATGTACTTGAATTCCCGCCTTTCCACCATCCCCACCAACCGACCGTACTCGCTGATGATCCGGATGATGGTACTTTCGATAGTAGCCATGACGAGAGATGGGCTGTCGAGGGCGATCTTCATTTCGTTCAATCTGTCCACGTTCCTCCAAAGGTGTCGGTACAGGTCATGTACAACGTTCGCAGCTAATCCCGACGCAAATACGAGTGTTCCGATAGACAACGTCAGAACCACGGATTTGGTATTGCCTTGGAGCAGAGAAAAAACGCATCTAGCGGTGGTGAAAATGACGCAGAGCACCAAGGTTTCGGCGCTAGTAGGAGCGGCTTGCCTGTAGGAGTATTCCGGATATTTTGCAACGAGAGCGCCATCCCCTTTGCTCCACATATAGAACCGCCAATAGTATCTCTGGCCCTTGTTCCACCACGGATGTGTGACGACAACATTGGGGGCTGCATAGAACCCTCCCCCTCCATGCGCTATCGAATAGTTCCTTTTCCTGCGGCAAAAATCGATATCTTCTCCCCCTCCCGTCTTTGGAAATCCTAGATCGAATGTCACGTCGTCTCGTACATTCCTCCGCGCGATCAAATTGGCAGTGACACCCCAAGGCAAATCAGGGTCGTCGGCCCTCTTCTTGGCGATGTCCCAAAAGTACGTGACTCCTGCGAGGTGGATAGCGGCTGTCGCGATCGTGTCGGCAACAGGGAACTGTGCATTTCCAACGAATCCTGCAGCCGCAGGGTTTGAGCGTATAGCTTTTTCGGCTTCAACGAGAATATTCTGCTCCGGCGTCACGTCGTCGTCTAAAAATAAAGCCCATTCTGCTGAGGATTCCTGCAATCCTCTATTGCGCGATGCCGATGCTCCAGAATTGACTGGGTTTACTCGAATGCGGACGTCGGGACGATGTGCATACCTATCCATGAGTTCACCAATATTCGGTGAAGTTGGGTCATCTACGATGATAATTGTCATGGTCGAGCACGTTTCAGATGGCCTCAGTGCCAGGAATCTGTCAATGTAAAGCAGATTGACTCGATAGCAAGGAATGATGACGTCGAGCGTGAGCCTTATCTCGACCTGGGGACAGATACAGCGCAACCAAGATTCGACGGTGGATGTAGCATGATCCAGTGGTCCAAATGTCCAGTCCACAGCGGAGACCTTCTTGTATCGGGCGTCTTGGCTGCCACCTAAACCATTGTTGATTTTGCAACAGATCATCCTCGAAGAATTCCACCGTCGATAGAGCTGAAAAACAAACGGATCACCATCCTGATTTACAAACGAGTCCGGAATAATGTGGCCCTCGAAGATGTCCATGTGTGTGCGATGTAGCACTGGAAAGGTTGGCATTCCGGGAAATGATTGTCACTGAAGGCGACGCAACCGAAGCCTTCAGGTACATGTTCCTCGGAAGCAATCTTCGCGAATGCGTCGCACACCGCGGACATCCAGTTCTGATCCTGTAGGGTAACATCGTCACCCATTAACACAAAATAATCGCACTTATCCTTCCAAGCCTTCCTCGCACAATCACGCCAAAGAGCGCATACATGCCCATGGGGATGTTGGGAAATAAGTGTCTCGACATATTGAAATCCCTCGGAGCGCAGAACACTTTCCGGCTTGTTATAGCCTCCACCTTTGTATAGAAAGTGGTCGTCGTGATCGATGGCTATGTAAATACGGAGACGATACCTGGATCTCCCCGTATCATACAGAGTCGTCGATCTGAGGGATCGAGATAAGTGAAGGAGATTATCAAGGCAGTCACCTGGGGAGGGTCGTCCCCGTGAAGTGATGGGCAAGAGTATAGCGAAGGTGCAGACATCCGACTGCAGATGCACGACTTCGCTATTCTGCCATTCGCGAATGCATTTGCTCTGTCCGGCATCATCCTTTCCAAGTAGCTGCTTGTCCATTTGCTGGCGGATCCACTCCCCCGTACGTCGCATTCCGTCCTCGAGAGATGTAGATGGTGTCCAATCCAAGGTGCCTCGCGCCAGATCGTTGTTAGAATTCCGTGACCCCACGCCTACCGGTCTTGCAGCAATGTATCGAGGAAAAACCTGACGAGAATCCAATCCTGCACATTGTGATGCTAGATCGGCAAGTTCTTTGATAGTGCTGGATCGCTCGGATCCTATATTAACTGCAGTATTGCAGTTTGAGCGCAATAGCAGTAAGATGCCCTCCACCGCATCGTCAATAAAGCAAAAGCTTCGTCGCTGGGATCCATCCCCCCATATCTCAATCTCCGCAGGCAGGAATCCGGAACGTGCTGCGGCGTGAGCCTTGCGCAGGAGCGCCGCTGGAGCCTTTTCGCGGCCGCCTGACCAACATCCCTCCGGACCATAGATATTATGAAACCGGGCGATCCGGATTTCCAGTTCTCCAGCGTATTGATGCAAGAGTTGTTCTCCATGGAGTTTCTCTAGGCCGTATAGCCCTTGAGGACTAGGGGGCATGTGTGCCCATACATCGCTCTCTCTAAGAGATACATCCCTTTTATCCGTGCCTTGTAGTAGCTCGGGATAGACGCATGCAGACGAGGCGTAGAAAAAGCGGCAGACACCAGCGGCAAGTGAAGCTGAAATAAGATTCAGGGTCATACTATGGTTTTCCTGATATATCTGAATGTCATTCTCTGTATGAATAACACCCATTCCCCCCATGTTGGCAGCAAAATGAAGAACGATAGAAACACCATTGGCGACCTTGGCGCAAAATGAAGGGTCGCACAGATTCCCAAGTATCACCTCTACTGTGGGTGGCCAAGGATCAGAATAGACGACTGAGCCGATATCGGTGATGCGGACACGATATCCTTCAAGATGAAGACGTCTGGCAACGTGATGTCCCTATATTGTCCCCGTCGGCAAATCAAAGTAATAGGGAAAAGGCTTCAAGTCTCTTACAATGAATCCATTCCCACCAGTAACCAGGTAAAGATCGTCTTGCGGGAGTCGAGACATCCCAGCCGATGGGGAAAGTTTCAGGGAAAGGTGAACAGGACAGTCCTTTTACAAGGATGAGGGAATGGGGGACGCACAAGCTTCAATATTTGCGTCGTGCTGCATGCAGCATGGTTCCAGGTTTGGAAACCGTGACGACGCATAGGTCTGACATCATCTGTACCAAAGGTCCTCGAATACCTCAAACATCGTCGACAAAGTCACCACCATATCAAATGCCATATCTCCCCCGTACCAACATATGGCTATCAAGACAATGCCATTTCCTGGCGGCAGTATAGCGGATACCAGATCTTGAACTGTCGTGCCATGAGGCGAACCAAAAGGAGTAACAATAACGCATGTTTGTATTGCGCAGGCAACACTTTGCCTCAAAAGATCACTGCGAGAAGTGGCGTAGTCAACAACGCTATTGTAACTCCTTTACGCTCGTCCACATGATATCTGCCTGTGACATTGAAGGAAGCAGGTTACTTTCACCGAGATGAGAGCCATTGGTATTATGACACACCTGGTTTGAGGTAATTTCACTGATGAGCCTCAGAGTGGAAAAAAAAACTCTCCTTGCTTCTCACTATAGCAATTCGCCTTTGAAGTGAAGTAGGCGACATAAGTAGACAGACAAGCTTCCGGCCCGTCAAGGTCTTTACCAACTCTAGATGATAAGACGAATGCACGCTGTACGCACCATGAGACAGCTATTACACGTGTAATAGGTACATCGCAGCCAGGTTGATCATCTTGTACTCGGGAAAGTCAAGTTCCTATGGTGGATAGCAAGTTAGCGAGAGACGATGCTTGCAAACAATCGATACTAAACTAGAAGACGATAAAAATATCGAGGCACTTCCCTCTGAGCTCAACTCCTCCCTGAATCTGATAGCAAACAGGGACGGTGCGTACTTCACTTCAATCCTGTGCATTGATATCCACCCACTGATATGGTGAACACACTATGCCCCTGAAGATGTCAAATTTTGATGAAGCCACGCCGAGCTTCAATTTCACAGCTACACAAGATTGGTTTTCCTTCAATATCGAAACCTGGAGGTCGCTCTTCAAGTTCGTCCAATCGCCAAACCCTCGAGTATTAGAGATTGGATCCTGGGAAGGGAGATCCGCCGTGTTCCTCTTAACGGAACTATGCGCGGGAGGTGGTGAAATTGTATGCGCCGACCACTTTGATCTCATGAAGACCACTGCTGGGCGGGAGCGTTACCAGAAAGTCGTGCATAATTTATCCCTGACAGGAAAACCATTCCGCATCCTCGACGAATTCAGTGTTCCGGCACTCATGACCCTCCTACGGGAAGAAATGTCTTCCACGAACCCTGGATATGATTGGATATACGTAGATGGATCTCATGAAGCGGACGACACCTTTCTTGATGGCGAGTTGGTCTGGAGACTAGCCAAGCAAGGTGCCGTGATCGTGTTCGACGATTACCATTGGGATAAAGAGCCAGAGAATAGCATTCATCACCCGAAGCGAGGGATTGACGCATTTCTGACGCTTCACGCAGGAGAGTTTGAACTGCTCTCGAGCCCATTGCAGTACCAGCTAGTCCTCCAGAAAACATCTGAGATGCGAATCGGGTTTCTCTCGAAGGAAAACATTGACCATGGGCTGGAGAATGTCCTAGGATATAGCATCCACATCGCTTTGACTGTTGATTCTGCTTATGCAATGGCAGCAGCCGTTGTCATCCGCAGTACCATCGTTCACACAACTGGACGACTCACCTTCTATGTGGTAGACCTGGGCCTCACTGATGAAGATCGAGGGAGATTGGAGGGATTTTCCGAGAACAGGGATGTAACCATCGTCTTCATTTCGCTGCCAACCAACAGCATCACCGCTAAGCACGGAGCCACCTTTGCGAAGATCGATATGATTCCAATCCTGCCGGTCGAACGTGTCCTATACCTGGATGCAGACGTACTTGTTAGAGCCAATTTACAGCCATTGTGGGCTACGGACCTGAAGAGAAACTCAATTGCAGCGGTTACCGATATCGGATTTCCAATGGGACATGAAGGGTTGCAGAGGGGTTCGTATTTCAATGCAGGTGTAATATTGATGAACCTTACGAAGATTCGACATCGCTTCAATGTGCTGAAAGCCACAGCCGAAGAGATGATGCAAAGCAAATTCCGCGACCAGGACGCATTGAACAGACATTTCATGAATGACTGGCTGCCACTGTCACTTAAGTGGAATGCTCAAGGATTAGGAACATATGCCAGTCTGCCATCCCCCGACCGAGCTTCCATGGATATATCGCCAATGCAGGACCCATCCATAGTTCACTTCACAGGCCCTGTCAGTCCAGCACTAGAACATGTGCTCAATCCGTATGTTCAGCCATATACCGCGAAGCCGTGGGGATATGCCGGCGCACCGGGAAATCCATACAAGGAGGAGTGGTGGAAGCTGGTGGACCAGACAGAATGGAGCGGGTGGAGAACTTCGGAAGCCTATTGTAAGGCGAATGCATTAGCAAAGGATAAGGCAATCCGCGAGGCTGTTGAACGATTCCAGCAGAAAATTATCGAAAGCCATATCACATTGTAAATAGGTCGAAATTGGAGTCTTTACGTAGACATAGCAGTAATGCCGCACGTTATAGAAATCCCGAGTATTGTTGAATCCGCCTGAATAGCTCTTGCTTTAGGAATGTCGAACGTAGATGGCCTTGTAACCACGGAGAAGGCGGAGGTCAACCTGGGACCTAAACTTGAATTGTTCTGGCTGTGGAATGACAGTCATATTTTGATCGACCTGTGAATTAAAACCTTGTACGAGCCACAGTAGTAGTAACAGCAAATATCTCTGAGTGAGAAAAAGCCGTAGACGCAAAGTCGCGGTCAGCTCACCAAGTCGTTACCCTACTAAGAATTGCTGTCACAGAGAATCTAGACGGGTGAAATGTGGCCGCATCAGACCCTTTCAAGGGGATAGCCATTTCCTGCTACACGACCTGGGGCTATTCTGGTCGTATCATGCTTGCACACAAGTCGGTTAGTCCAAAAGTCGCCCGTGAGGCGCTGTGCTGCCGAAGCCACCGGAGACGTCAAGATACCAAGGTGAGCATATAGTACATGAACTAGGTCCGCCAAGTGACTTGAATACTATCGATACCGGCCTCTTAACGCGAGACGCACGGACTGGAGACTAGAGTGGGATACAGGCGCCACCGCGAGTCATCGAGACGGCGCTAAGGCGAGGAGGCCGGTTTTCTCGGGTTAGGTCCCAAACGTTCACCGTGGTACGTGCAGGTCTGCTTATCATGATATGACGATGATGTTCCTTCTCTCTCCACATTCACATCGCCACGACCCTCTGAGATACATAACAAGAATAGATGCAGCCAAATATCTCTCAGGCACAGCATGCGCACCACTACTAGCGTCGACTTTCGAGGCGGATATCTGAGCTGGAATTCAATGAAACACTTCATGACATCATGATCACATCAGTAACACCCATGCACACGGATGCGATGATTTTCTGAAGTTCAGTACTTGGTATGTACAGTAAGTATATCACGTCATCAGGTTTCGCTCAAATCAGTTCTTAGACAACACTGAAAATTCGTGCAAACATGATTCATAATCGTTGAAATTCGACCAGCTGGTGAAAAACAGCTCATGGAAATTTCTGAATCGATGTGATCTGAACTGTGTTCCAGACGCGCTCCCGAGACTTCGTAGTCGACACGGGACGGAGGAAATCGGGTATCATGAGCCGGTGTTTCGACGCTGAGGACTCCGACGTGAGTCGCATGTCCGGTTGAATCAGAGAGCCATAGTGACTAAGTATGCGGCGCAATGTGGTCTCCTGTCTGGACGTTAAATATCCTGGACGTATCTAGGCATACGACATCGGTACAGTGATGCTTACTCTCTTCTCCACGCAGGTGAGGCATCCAATTTTACCTAAGTTAACGAGTGCACTACAGTACTAGTAGTTGACTGGGGAGACATGGCACTTGAGATATCAAAGAATGGGGGTTAGCACAAGTGCCAACTTTGTTCTCTGGACCCTTGTGGCCCGCGGGGTATTGTCAACGCTATGCATCAATTTTGAACTCCTCGGTGTCTTTCAGACCGATGTGATGAGATCACACTGGGAGGACTTGCGCGTTTCTAGCATGCGCATGATGTATCGATTATCCGACGCCCTAATTCCTTCATATCGAGAGGTATGTTGACTGAGATGGAAGCTACGCACCAAGGCGGCGCACTAGATCTGGCTCGGTAGATAGATTTAGACGGGGGGTTACACCGGTAGCTTGTGCTCCTGCATGCTGGCCAACCGATTCCAGGCAAGGTCAAATGGAAATAATGTTCAACTTTGAAGTAAATCAGTTTGAATTTGTTTTCACCCTCCTGAAACACGTCTCACTGTAATTACACAAGTTGAGGCCAGCATGGTGGGGTCATGGAGTTCGAGAGTGCAGCCAATCAGAGCAGCGATGTTCCTCAAGACCTACCAAAACGGGCCCGAGGGTGTTGGCCACCAAATACCGACCACGTCTCAGCTTCAGTTCGAACGCCAAAAGACAGGGCCAGATCCCTCCGAGATTCCTCTCCATCACATCGCGTTCATTTTTTTCCATAGCCCCACGAGACATGATGAGCTGCGTATGTACGCTTAAATGCTGGCCTCAACCCCTTCTCTCCGCATTTGTCTCGGAAGCTAGCACACACGCTTGCGCCACTTCGCGATGAGCGCAGAAGAACGTATGTGGCGTCAGGTACTTATCAGTCATGTATTGCTGAAGCTGATGATTTGTCTGGTAGTAAAGAATGGGACCGGCGTTAGCGCAGCTGACGCTGAGCAGTATGACTATACTTCACAGACCGAGAGTGATGTCGACCCGAAGATTCGATTTCCTTGCGTAGATGAGAGGAAGCTTATGTTCAAGGTAGACATGCACGTTGTACCGATTCTGTGTATTATGTACCTCATGGCTTTCCTTGACCGGTAAGTTTATTGTTTCGTCCTTGCTCGTACACTCAGTAGTTTTATTTGACATTGTGTAGAGTCAATATCTCCAATGCAGCTCTATTCGGTCTCGAGACGGATCTCAAGCTCGTAGGAACTCAGTTTAACACTGCCCTCGTCATCTTGTGAGTCCTTTCTCTGCGTCTTATGTCACGATGTTTATTTAATCTTCAGCTTCGTTCCATACGTTGTTTTCGATATTCCCTCGAATATCTTATTAAAGCGTTTCAAACCACATGTTTGGCGTACGTCATGCGAGATTGTTTCTATCCACTCATCGGTGACATTCAAACCAAAATTGTACAGTTTCCGTGTGCATGTTCCTTTTTGGTCTTTTCGCCATCTGTCAAGGGTTAGTTCATACCTATAGCGGATTGCTGGCGTGTCGGTTCTTCTTGGGTAATTGCTCCAAGTTATCAATCAGTATATGCCGCTCACTCCTGTTTTGCAGGCGTGGCTGAGGCGGGAATTTTCCCTGGATGCTTTTACCTTTTGGCGATGTTCGTCGTGTGGCCTTGCACAATCAACAAAATTTGACATACATTTCGTTCACAGGTGGTATAAGCGCTCAGAGGCGCAAAAGAGATTCAGTTTCTTTTTCTGTTCAACGACATTGGCGGGTGCATTTGGTGGATTGCTCGCTACTGCGATTGGAAAAATGGATGGCTTACGCGGGTATCGTGGGTGGCGATGGATCTTCATTCTAGGTGTGTGTCACAGTTATTTCTACGCGATTTTTTGGATGCTGATCGCACTTTCGACATGGCAGAGGGGGTTGGAACCTGTGTTATCTCCCTCCTGCTCTTTTTTGCTATTGCGGACTTCCCAGAGGAAGTACAATGGTTGACGAATGATGAAAAGGAGTACATTGAAGCACGCCTACATGCAGACGTCGGACAGTCGAGAAGACACGACAAGCTGACTTGGAAAAGTGGCTTGGCAATTTTCAAAGATTGTACGTTCACTCATGACGACGCGCTGATCAATATCGAACACACCACTTTCATCCTCAGATAAAATCATAGCGGGTGGATTCATGTACCTTGGGCTTATTGTACCCGCATATGGCTATAGTGCGTAATTATGGTCACTACTCTACCATTGACACGTGTGCTTACCCTCATCTCAGCTTATTTCGCACCCTCAATTATTGAGTCGCTCGGGTACAGTGCAATCCACACGCAGCTGCTTTCCGTTCCTCCTTGGGCATGCAGCTTCGTATTCGCTATGCTCATCGCGACCGTGTCTGATCATATCCACCATCGATTCGCTTTCGTAGTCGTCCCTTCATTGATCAGCCTTTCTGGCTTTATTGTTCTGCTTCGGGTGCACGACAAGCCACACGTTCAGTATGGTGCACTGTTCCTTGCGGCAATAGGCGCATTCACGGCAATGGGGGTCATGATTTGCTGGTTCCACACAAATCGTACGTTGAATTCAACTCGTGTGATCGCACACCTATTGACGGCATGTGCTACAGTTGCTGGCCACCAGAGACGTGCTGTGGGTTCAGCCTGGCAAATCGGTTTTGGGAACAGTGAGTTCTTCTCTTACCATCTTATGATATATGGAATCGTCCTAATGCAGTGCAGTCGGTGGTATTATTGCCGTGTACTCTTTCCTCGCGAAGGATGCGCCGAAGTACCTTCTGGGATACAGGGTCTGCATCTCGTTCACCTGTCTCTCAATTTTTGCCGACATCGTTTACTTCTTCGGTGTCCTCCACGAGAACCGAAAGCGGGATCGTGCGGACACTGCGATCTCAGAGGACGAGAAGGCCACGATGGGTGATCTGAACCCCGACTATAGATATGTACTGTGATGATGCGTACAGCATATTCATCGGGTCACGAAGACGGACAATAAGCAAAAACAGAACACTCATTTCGATATAACCAGAGTAGTTGCACCAACTCACATACTGATTAGAAGTACGAGTCTTTATAGTTATATACAGGTATGGACAGGATTGAAATAGAACCACGAAACTGCTGGTCAAACTAACGCGACTGTCTTGAATGCATGTTTGAAACAACGTATGTCCGGCAAACATCCACCGCCAACTTAGCTTCGAGGCGATCATTTTAATGACATCCTCGCATCCTCGGCAATGCTACGACACCACAATGTTGCACGTTCACCAGCCGAACCCAGGGCCATTATCGTCCATGAAACCCTGATCCATGGAACCGTCCTGGAAACCTATGCACTGTCATCTTCGATATCTGGACACGACCATGTGTATGGTATAGCTCACCTTGATCAAATCCCTCCATGCGCTCACGCTCATCATGGTGCTCAATGAGATCACCAATGAGCATACCACCAAGAATACCCGCGCCACCTTATTGTGTTTACCGTTCAATATATGCCGAGGCCAATACGACGATCGATACTCACCAGCAGCAAGGGCAGTCCCCATACCCATGTGATGCTTCTTAGGCGGAGGTGTCTCCACCACCTCTACATTGGCGGGTTGCTGCATAGAGGGACCCCCACCGAACCAGCCTTACGACATCACAAAAAAAAATTAATAGAGTCCTCAATGTAGTATATCTAGACAGCATAAGCTCACCCCTCGATTCCTCAGGCGGAGGTCCTCCATACCCACCGCCGGGGCGATATCCACCTGGCGGTAGCGGCGCTCCATATGATGAACCATAACCGTCATCGTAAGATCGTGACGGTGGACCTCCATCGTAGGGTCGAGGGGAAAGGCGGTCGTTATATGGTCGAGGAGAAGGGCCATCATCGTAGGAACGGCCGGGAGGTCCTTGGTTCCAACTGGGTTGATCATATCCGCGAGACGAATCATATCCTCGTCTGTCATTCGGAGGTGGGGGACCCGAGGGAGGTGCGTATCCTCCAGGTCGTGGAGACCGAGGAGCAATATCGAGGGGGTGAACCCAAGAGGAACGTGGAGGTTCTTCGAAAGTGTTCACATAAAACCTAGACCACGACGCGATCAGCTATAAGCAGCAGTGATCTGGTGCCTTCAGGCATACCATGCGTTGTAGCTAGAGGGTAAGGTCAGCGACCCGGGTAGATACTAAGATTTGTCACACGCACTTATCGTCATACTCTGCTGTCCAGCCAGGAGGGAGCTGACGAGTGTCGGGATTCCTGGGACGGTCATAGCCAGGACTGTATTGTCTGTATGACATGACTGAGCGAGATGATGGGAGGTGATAGGTTAGGTGGGGTACTGCCGGGATCCTACATGCTTTATATAATTCGCGCTGTATCGTGATCTGTAGCCGGGGAAGGTCATCCACACCGCAGCTCCGGAACAAATTGACTGCGCTAGTCTAGTGTGGCCGTCGTGGGCCATGAGTAAGGATACTGCAGTGACAAGTGCAGTGTTACCAGGAAACTCGATCCACTGGCAGATATCCGTGCAATGATGTTCGTAACAGCATCCGCACGCGAGACCTCGGGCTGTGCCATGGGCACCGCGTTCGCACTGCCGCGCATAGAACGCCCTCGAACCTACCACTTACCACGTCCACGTCCACGTCTACGATGATCCTCAGCCGGTGCATCCTACATCTCTTTCCTGGTGCCAATCCACTCTGTTGGATCTGCGACACCATCGATGGACAATACAGTGAGAGATCAAGGTCAACCCTCTCCAAATGGCATTACTTATGACACTTTATGGAACAAACATTACGCCAAGCTTGACGAACGAAGTTACAATGGTACATGAAAGTAGCGCACTGGCCAACGTGCTTTTCGAACGAATTATCAGACGACACATAGGATAAAGCAAGACAACGACGACAATGGAGCAATCAAGCCTTCGACTTCTTCTGCTTCTTGGGGGTCTGCACGACCTTAGATGGAGACCCGCTCTCTTTCTTTGATCTCTTGGGAGGAGGTTGCTCCTCTTCCTCATCATCCTCGTCCCCACTAGAGCTTTCGGGTGTCGACGTTCCCTCTTCTTCCTCCTCTGACTCATCTGAGGACTCTGCAGCTACCTTATCTGGTTTCGCAGCAGCAACGATCGCAGGTTCAGCCTAGCAGTAGGTGAGCCCGTCTAGCCGTCGAAAGTCATACCACACGCTTACTACGACGACAGGCACGGCTGTATCCGGAGAGCCCCCAATCTCATACTGGGCCTTGTCGACGAGCCATTGATCCTTCATGACTTTTTGTCTCGCCTCGTATTGCTGAACACGGACGTCGGTAAGTCGGCTCACTTGACAACCCAGACCAGACTCACTTCTTTTTTCTCCTTTGGCATCTCGCCCCAGAGTTTTGCAATCATAGTCAACAACTCATTATTCGCGATTCCGGGATGCTCTTCTTTCAACTTTTGACGAACGTCGTTCTGGAAAATGAGGTACGATGAAGCAGGTCGTTTGGGAGCATTAGGATCCTTCAATTTTCTTGGTGTCCTGATCCTTCTGCCGTCCGCATCCACTTTGATGCGCGACTTGCGTTTACCACCGACAACCTGTGCAGGAATACCGCCGGGGGGCATTACGAACTGGCCAACGGCTGCAGCCCCACCGTACTGCACATGGGATACTACTTGAGCGAATTGATCCGCAAAGCTGGCGCAGTTACGCAGCTGTTCGGCGACAGCGCCTAAACCGTTCATGAGCTAAGGGGGGCCAAAGGCAAAATCAACATGAATGCAAGGTAACCGCCCAGAGGACCGCAGCGCACCTGCATTTTTTGAAACTCGAAGTGGGCAATGCCCTCGGGGACGTTGGCCATTGTTATGTAGAACAAGGGAGAGTCGGCTCACAGACGCGTCGGACGCGTCGCGTCGTATAGCGCGACACTACAACAAGGAGGGGTAAGAAAGGGTAAGAAAGGGTGAACGGTTGTTGTCGTGGCCGTAGTCGTATTATGGACGTTGTAGGTGTTTGGTTCAATTGATTGTTTGTAGCATTACAAATCTCGTGAAGCCTTCGACTTACTAGCCGCTGTCTTCTGAGTTCTATTTTTCTGCCATGTGATTGCATGAATAATATTGTCGCCCCCGTCCTGATCCCGACATGCATGGGCTGCTCTTTAAATAATGTGGTACAATGAGCGCGGCGAGAACAAAAGCAAGTCGAGGAGCTGTGGTCATTGGGGGCGTGAGAAAAATGACAGTAATGGCAAAGGCTATTTGAGGTAGGAGCTGCAAGCGGAGAGTGAAAGGACGCGAGCCTAACCTCTGACCATCACCACAACGTTGGACGCTACGACGACCCGGCAAGGTGATAACTGACGAGGGCAGTAAACAGCGCAGCATTCTGGTCTCCTTCTGCATCTCGTTCCAAAAAAATAAGCTCGATAGTTTTTCCATAACTGCTGAGAGCGCGAGTGCAAAAAAAAGAGTCGTTACAAATGGAATTCACGAATGCGGCGTGGCTGCAACAACAACAAATTCCCGATATGCAGTCTGTCGCTCCAGACGGGCAGCACACCGCCGGCGACGACTGGAAGGACCCCTCGTCCAGCGTCCAGGCGGCGTCGGGTGCTGCGCCCGTTGCCTCCGCTGGCATCGACCTGAGCGACTTTGGGTTGGGCGATCTCTCGGGTAAGCACGTTCTCCACGCCCCCAAATAGGCGCCCCTACTCTCTTCTCGAGTCAGTCAATGATGCTCTCTCTGGACAGTCCCCTCGTCTTCAAACTCGGTGTCCAACCCCTCTGCCGCGTTCTATGCCTTCCCCTCTCCTTTCTATATCCCCAATACACCCGGACCCTATAATGCTGTTCCATATGGCGCGCCGCAATGGTCCAATGCGACGTCCCAACTCCCCCTCTCAACCTACTCATCGTTGAATGGTGCAACCAGCTCGTCGTCTCCATCACACCAACAGCCTTCGTCTGCCGTACCATCATCGATGATGATCGAGTATGCACATATCCTGCTTCTCTTGCTGCTCGCTGATCTTGCTTCCATGTAGTCCTGCACTAACCACAATGAACGGATCTGCGTCGTCCCCTATGCACCACTACCAACACTCACCTCCTTTCCTTTCATCTCAGCCTCAATCGCGTACGCAATACCAATTCCAGCATCAACAACATCAACCCACATTGTCCATCAATCCGTCTTATGTTCATACGACCGCATCGCATTTTCAGCAATCTTCTCCACATTCAGCATCGCAGCAACAGGCACAACCACAACAAGGCACACTCTCTCCTTTCTCTTTGCATACTTCTGTCCCTCCATCATCATTCTACGGAGTCCCGGCCATTCAGAAACCTTCAACCCCCACTCCTGAACAGCATAAATTAGCATTCGTGACCGCTATTAAACCTCTTTTGTTCCCGAATTCGTTCACAGGAGCCGGTGCCGTGTCGCAGCTGGTTGGTCATATAGAGGACTATGGCGCATTGGAAGTTGAGCCTCAGACTCGGCTGGAGATCTTGACCAAGATGCGAGATAACGCTGGTAACCATTACTTTCGTGCTTGGGTTGAGAACGAGGATGCGATGGAAGTGACCCGAGAATGGCTCAAGTCAGCTTATGCGAGGAAGGACGACATTCCGTTTGTCGAGACAATCATGCCGTTGCTGCACGTAAGTGTGTTTGAATCCGTGTCGATGTAATCTGATTCCCTTCCTGACTAACCATAGGTGATTGACCGTTTACCACTCAACCTAGATAGCTTGAAGTCATCAAAATTGGGCAAAATCATCGTACGATTAGTGAAGGAACCACCGGGCCCTGGTGAGTTATCCCCTTGTGATAAGATGTACGCTTGCTGTCGACCTCGTCTTGCCGCATATGCTGTAAGGCCGTTGGTTTGTACCGATTTGCTTTGGTGACGCGCCAGACACAGACCATAGATTAGTGCGATGAGATGCATATGTGCATTGACTGCTGCTCCTGTCGATTGTGCATACCGCCGGAGCGCGAATCTAACTTTGGATGAGCGAATCATCAAAAATCTACACTATTGTTCCCATGATATCTTCGAGTTGGAATAGAGTACATGTATCTAACCCAAACCGTCTATTTCCATTAAACAGCCGTTAAGGACATGGCATCCAATCTAGAACGTAAATGGCGCCAGCTGCTGGCTGCCAGTCACGAGGAACAGAAACGAATGGATGTTGACGAGGGTGTGTAATGTGTTGGTCCATATAATCTGAATAAGTCTGATGACATTATTCAGATCCCAAGGGCAAGAAACGGAAGGCCGATCCTTCGTCTTCGAAAACTGCCCCTCCTGCCAAGAAAGCCGCCCTATCGACCTCGAGCACGTCTACCAAATCTGTCACCATTAAGAAAGAGGTCAAGACTGTTGTAAGGGAGGTGAAAGACGCAAAATCCGATTCATCGTTTTTCTCAGCCCCTAAGCCGAAGCCAAAGTTGCCAAGTTTCAAGAAGGCTCCTCCAGCTCCGGTAAAGAAAGAGCCAGATATGAATGTTGCCCAGCCTTCTTCTATTAACCCCTTCGAGGAAGCTCTGAAGTCGATGGCGAAATCACGCAAGGATTCTCCAGCGACAGCAACACCACCACCAGCAGCCACAGTAGCGAGTTCAGCTTCGGTATCGACAAGCGCTGTTGCCATCGGTAAGCCGAAAAAGACAGTGACGTGGGCGCCCGAGGGCAAGCTTGAGATGATCAAGATCATTGAGCGAGCTATCTATGACGATGATCCTGCGGATGTCAGCTCATTTCCTCTCGTATCTCACATGTACTGTACATTCATACGTGTTGTCTGCGTCTGTACACAGGGTGCGCTGTCGACGCACAATATTCGCGATCTTGATCGAGACGAAGGAGCCGCGCTACACGCTCACCTCTTTGAGGAGCAGCTCGAGTGGTCGGAACCCATCCGTAAGCAAATCTTTGAATTAAACCGCTGCCCGTCGTGAAACATAACACGTCTATAGTGATGGATACTCCGCCCGACATCGAAGTCCATCTGCGGGGGGAGGGCAGCCAAGAGAAGCTCACGCAGGAAGAGCGCGAGCAGAGCGCGCTTGTGGCCGTGTACATGTCGCTGGCCCAAATTCCCGAGAGTCCTGCGGAGCCGCCTTCACAGATCTCGGAGGATCAGGTAGACGAAGGGGTTAGAGTCATGTTGACTGGTCCCGACGTTGATGCGATATTCTGGAGCGAGGGCGCGCCCGCGGCGGTTGAGGCGCCACAGCAGTCTGTAGCTGAGCTCGTGGGGCAGCTGGCGTCGTCGTCGGGCGATGTCCCCATGGTGAATGCGGGCCAGCCGCCGCTGGACGCGAAAGCATTTGGGCTCGATGCGAGCGCCATGCAGGGCGTGCCCGGGTTTTCGAACCTTAACTCTGAGCAGGTGCTGCAGCTGGTGCAGACGCTGAGTCAGGGCGGCATGTTCCAGGCGCAGGCCCCCGGACAGCCTTCTCAAGGGGGAGACTGGAATTCCGGGTCGTACCCAGAGTATGAGCGCGGATCGTACTACGAGGAGGGCAGTC